TCTTAGATTCAAGAATAGCCCAAGTCCTTTAAAAAGGGCAGCCCAAGTCCCTGAAGCTGCCTACCAAAGAGGTTGCTCACTCTGTTGCACATACTGTCCATCCATCAAAGCTGACTTTCAATGACTCTGCTTCCAATAAATTCATTCTTTCTGATTCTCTTTCACAGTTTTGTAAAACTTTAATTTGGTCTGTAGCTTGATGCCTACATTAATTCATCTCTTGTCAGTTTTTGTAAAAGCCTCTTGGCTTTTCAAGGTTCAGTTCTGTTTCTTTGAAATTAGGAACATATCATTGAAAAATTTCCATACCATCCAGAGATAATTCAGCTAGAAACTCTGTGTTTACTGTGAAAATCTGAATGACCTTGGGCATAGGTTGGGGATTCATTTGTCTTTATCAGCCCTATGGCCTTCCATAATGTGATACCACTTTTGTAAATCTGTTCATGATCACAATTATGTGTTTGTGGTGTGTGCTTTTCCATGCGGCAAATTTTAACAATGTTCATAACCTTTTTGGATTGAAGAATTATTTCAAATTTAGTATTTTATATAGTCACAATTTACTGATAGGAAACTTGACATCTACAGAGATTAAGGTGGCTTACCCAGTATCACAGTCTTAATTATTGGTGAGGTTAGAGTAAAAACTCAAAGCCTTCCTGACCCCTCTTAATCTCATCTTTTCTCAGTGTAAAATAGTGATGCTAAATTCTGGACCCATTAGACTACATAGTCAGCTGAATGAGATTTTGCCCACTATTCCATCTTACTTCACTCTATCAGTGATAGATGACGATTCAGGGAAGGCGTCATCCATCTTCACTGAAACAACACTTTGAGTAGCCTTAGGATTTCTAAGAACTTGGAGCAGCTGAATTCACACAGTAGCTACAAATGCTGAGTTTTGCTCATGTTTTTGACTCTCTTTCTGGGGTCTTTTAAAAGCACCAGAACACTTGATGTTTTTTAACATTTTTCTCATATCTAAAGTTAGGCAATGATTGTATCCATTGTGGATTTAAGCTGCACTGTGCTCTTCAGAGTGCAGTGTTCTAAAGCTAACATGGAAATATCACATCAGGCAATTGTCTGCATTGGCAGCCAAGAGATACCTTACTACTTAAATGTGATGAGAAGGGGAGAATTCACAAAACCTTTGGAAATTTACTTTTTGTGTAAATATAAGACCTATGACAAGTCACACAGCCGTTACTAGAGGTGGAATATGATAGATAGTGTTCTGACAGTAACAGTAACAGATTTGCAAAGCATCAGTTTATAAAGCATTTTCACATCTATTTATCTCATTTCACATCTTTTAATCTCAATTCACCACAAAATAGTTAAGGAAAGAAACAATGTGCATCATATTGCAGAACTTTTTTATTCATACATTAATAATTAAGCCTTACAACTTACAGATAAATATTAGCTTTCTCCTCTGCCAAGATAAATTCTTTTGTTAAAATTTTGTGAAAATAAAGTTATTATTTGCAGTCATTTAAGCTTATCTACATCTAATTGTTTTTCCTATTTTATTTCTAAGTTCTCTGTCAACAGTTTATTCTTTTCTCCTCTAGTGGCTTTGGGTGTACCACTGACAGAGAGTCTATTGTTCATCCTTCCTTAATAGTATGCATATTTTAAAGATTCTGACCTGATTTTTTAATTTTAAAATTTATAACATTGTCTAATTATAAAGCAATGCATATTTATTATAGAAAGTTTGGATGATACACAGAATCTAAAAAAAATAAAAAATTAACTGTAATCTAATCAGCTAGAGATAACCATTGTTACCACATTTTACTTCACACTTCTGCAGATCAAGGGTGAACAATTTACTACAGAAAACAGTAATGCTAGAGAATAGGAGGAAGTCAAGCAAATCAACACATCTACAGGACCCATTCATGTAACCCATGGAGATAAGGGGAGGGGCCAGCCTCTGCAAATGAGATGGATCTATTCTTGTTACTGGGAAGAGAGGGAAAGCTTTTCCATCATCTCATGGTAACTGCATTTTTTTACTAGCAGAGCATGTAGAAGTTGTTACATAGGTGGCTAATTTTAGAGTCATTTGCCTCATACAATAATTTTTAAATGTGTGAATATGTACCTCATTCTTAATTCTTTTCTCTATCCTTGACCTGTATCAGGCTAGTTGCACAATATTGAACAAACAACTCTGGACTCTTCACAGGATGATATTAGGATTCCTGTAGAGTTCATTCTCTTAGCCCCTTAGGCCAAGTCTGCTGGCAGATGAACCTGCTCAGACCTTCTGTTCCTTAAAGGGTTGGATATTCTGTCTCCTACAGTTTAGACTAATAGGGTAGAATATACTTTAATTATTTGACATCATTTCTCAATGAGGATAACTTGGGAGTACAGCTTACAACTTGTAAGGGGTGAAGTAATATAATGCTTTCCCTCTAGTTGTCCCTGCACTCTAGAATAAAGAACAGCCAATTAATCAGGGGGAAAAAAAACAAGCTCCACATTCATCCCAGGCTTATCTAAGTCCATTGCTACAGGGGCAGCTATGAGACACTGAATTACTTGGAACTTCCTAAATACCTCACTTTCTTTAGTCTCAAAGATATTTTTTTTTTACGTTTTCCCCTTATTCCTGTTGTAGAGAATGTTGATTTCCTCCAATATCTATTCCTCCTTTCTACTTACAATAAGAAGTCTGATTTTTAGCTGGACATATTGCTGCTCTCCGGTAAAGATCACATTCTCTAGTTTCACTTGGCAGTGAGGTGTGGCCATGCAGATTTAATGGCTAGAGCTCTAGTGGCTTTTCAGTACCTTGAGGACAGAGGGGACTGCACTCTAGGGATGATAGGGCTGCGATCTAGGATACAGATAACTTCGTCAAGCTACCAAATCAACACTAGTTTTGAATTCTTTTATGTGAGAGGGAAACAACTATATCTTATTTAAGTCACTGTTATTTTGGGTTTCTGATGCAACTATACTCTGAGTATATTGGGCCATTCTTCCTAGAAAGTTCTATTTGTATTGTAAATGCAAAATATTTAAGGAACATTATTAAATATAATTATGGGCTATGGAAGATACAAAATGTGCTGCAATATTTAGCCTACAGAATTTTATATTTAAGAAAGAAAAACAGATATATATGCAAGGCCCCAATATTAGACAATAAGAGGATGGATAAGGAGTTAATTCCCAAGTGTAAGATACATTTATGGTTGATTGGTTTTTGACAAGGGTGCCAAGACAATTCAATGGGAGAAGAAAAGTCTTCTCATCAGATGGTGCTTGGGGTAACTGGATATCTACATGCAAAAGTATGAGATTGGACCCTTACTTCATACCATATAGAAATATTAACTCAAAATGAATTGCAGACCTAAGTGAAAGAGCTAAACTTATATTAGGTTGGTGCAAAAGTAATGGAAAAAAATACAATTACTTTTGCACCAACCTAATAAAACGTTTAGAAGAAAACGTGCAAGTAAATATTCTTGGCTTTGAATGAGGCAATGGCTAGATATGTCACCAAAAGCAAAACTAACAAAAGAAAAATAAATAAATTGGAGCTCATCAAAATTAAAAACTTTTTGCTTCAGAGGACACCACGAAGAAAGACAATCCCAGAATGGAAGAAATATTTGCAAACCATTTATTTTATATGAGGTTTGTATTCAGAATATACAAAGAATTCTTGCAACTTAACAGTAAAAATACAAATAGCCCATTTCAAAAATGGCCATATGATTTGAACAGACATTCCTTCAAAAAAAAGTACACATGACCAAAAATTACATGAAAAGATGTTCAACATCATTAATAGTTAGGAAAAACCAAACCAAAACCACAATGAGATGCCTCCTCACACCCATTATAATAACTAAAATAATTTTTTAAAAGAACAAAAAGAAATGTTGATAAAAATATGAAAAAACTTGAACCATCATGCATTGCTGGTGGAAATGGAAAATAGTATAGCTTCTTTGGAAACATTGGCAATTCCTCAAAATATTAAATATAGAATTATCGTGTGACCCAGCAATTCTCCTCCTAGTTATATACCCAAGAGAAATTAAAACATCTCCACTTGTACACAAATGTTCTTAGCAGCATTATTTGTAAAAATCAAAAAGTAGAAGCAACCCAAGTACCCAACAACTGATGTTAGATAAATTAAAGTTTATATTCATACAATGGAATTTTATGTACATCCATACAATGGAATTTTATTTAACAATAAAAACTGAAATGCTGTTACATTCTACAACATGGGTGAACCTTGAAAATATTATGCTAAGTGAAAGAAGGAATCACAATGGGTCAAATATTGTATGATTCCATTTATATGAAATTTCCTGAATAACGATATGCATAGTGACAGAAAGCAGATTAGTGGTTTCCAGGGGCTGGGGAGGGAGAATGGGGAGTGACTGCTAATGAGTATGAGGTTTCTTTTTTAGATGATGAAAATGTTCTAAAATTAGATAGTGTTAATGGTTGTACAACTCTATGAATATATAGAAAACACTCAATTGTATTCTATGGTATGTAAATCATGTCTCAAAGCTGCTAAAAATTTTTTTCTAGCTTCACAATTGAAAAATGGTTGAAACAGATGCAGTATGATTTTGGTTTGTGGCCATACTGAAATAAATAATGTCCCAGAATGAAACTAGATTTATCTCTAAGAATTGGGTGTATAACCAGTGTATATAAAATAAGTGTAAAGAGAATTAAATGAACAAGTTAAAACTTAAAATTGTCTATATTGTTAAAGAGTAAAAATAAATAGTAAAATGTACTATTTGGCATTCAGTCACTATTCTCATTGCTGATTATTGTCACCTAATTAAGTCCTAAATATTAAATAAATGATAATACATTTTCTTTGATTATTAAATGACATCTTTTAATACATCAGTATATTTAAATGTTTGAAAAATATTTTAAGATAAATAAGTATACTAATAAATACTACAGAAATATGGGAATGGTTCAAGAAAACTTGAAAGTCAAAATATGTCGCATGATGCATACAACCAGACCTACCTTCAGGTAACAAGTACACCTGTTCTTATAGCCAAATGTTTTGACTACTCCAACCCTTGACTGGTATACTAAGCAGCAGAACACTGGCTGAAAAGCAGAAACCCCAAGGTCAGAAGATAAAGATTGTGACTTAAATGTATTTAGCCTTCAAAGTGTTTGTATTTTAAGCCGACATTTAATAATTGAGAGAGATGCAGATCGTGACTTAAATGTACTTAGCCCTCAGAGTGTTCATTTGTTTTGTATTTTAATTAAGGCAACATTTTAAAATCAGAAGATTTAACTTAAAAGTCTAGATTGGAGCTTGTGTTTAAAACTGAGGATAGCTGTTCCTGTGGCAGCTGACGGGCTGAGAGGAGCATGGCTGTCCCCTCTCCACCATGGCATGTGCTCGCCCACTGATATTGGTGTACTCCAGAAAGGGAGAGTCATCTGACAAAAATGTCACTTTGCCTGCTGTATTCAAAGATCCTATTCGACCAGATATTGTGAACTTCATTCACACCAACTTGCACAAAAACAACAGACAGCCCTATGCTGTCAGGGAAATAGCAGGTCATCAGGCCAGTGCTGAGTCTTGGGGTACTGGTTGAGCTGTGGCTTAAATTCCCAGAGTTTAAGGTGGTGGGACTCACTGTTCTGGCCAGGGTGCTTTTGGAAATATGTGTCATGGAGGCCAAATGTTTGCACCAACCAAAACCTGGTGCTGTTGGCATCGTAGATTGAACACAATCCAAAAGCGATATGCCATCTGTTCTGCCCTGGCTGCCTCAGCCTTACCAGCACTGGTCATGTCTAAAGGTCATCGTATTGAAGAAGTTCCTGAACTTCCTTTGGTAGTCGAAGACAAAGTTGAAGGCTGCAAGAAGACCATGGAGGCTGTTTTGCTTCTTAAGTAACTTACAACCTGGAATGATATCAAAAAGGTCTATGCCTCTCAGCGACTGAGAGCTGGCAAGGGAAAAATGAGAAACTGTCACCGTATCCAGCACAGGGGACCCTGCATCATCTACAGTGAAGATAATGGTATCATCAAGGGCTTCAGAAACATCCCTGAAATTACTTTGCTCAGTGTAAGCAAATTGAGCATTTGAAGCTTGCTCCTCCTGGTGGACATGTGGGACGTTTCTGCATTTGGACCGAAATTGCTTTCCAGAAGTTAGATGAATTGTATGGCACTTGGCGTAAAGCTGCTTCCCTCAAGAGTAACTAGAATCTTCCTATGCACAAGATGAACAATACAGATCTCAGCAGAATCTTGAAAATCCCAGAGATCTAAAGAGCCCTTCCAGCACCACGCAAGAAGATTCATTGCAGAGATCTAAAGAACTCACTGAAAAACCTGAGAATCATGTTGAAGCTAAACCCATATGCAAAGATCATGCGCTGGAACACTATTCTTTGCCAGGCCAGGAATCACAAGCTCTGGGTGGATAAGGCAGTGGCAGCAGCAGCAGCACTAGAAGCCAAATCAGATGAGAAGGGGGTTGCAGGCAAGCAGCCTGTGGTAGGTAAGAAAGGAAAGAAGGCTGCTGTTGGTGTTAAGAAGCAGAAGAAGCTTCTAGTGGGAAAAAAAGCCAGCAGCTACCAAGAAACCAGCCCTGAAAAGAAGCCAGCAGAAAAGAAACCTACTACAGAGGAAAAGAAGCCTGCTGCATAAACTCTTAAATTTGATTATTCCATAAAGGTCAAATCATTTTGGAGAGTTTCTTTTGAATAAAGACCTGATCAAAGAGGCAGAGAGGAAGAAAAAAACTCTGAAGATAGGGGAAAAAAAACCACCTCTGAAGATATGGCAGCACTGGTAGTCATTTGCTGAAGCTGGATGCTACTTCTCTCCTTAAATGCCCTCATGCAGTGGTTACCTGTGCTCTTCCAACTGGCCACTTTGCTCATTATATCATGTGATACAGTTTGGCTGTGTCCCCACCCAAATCTCATCTTGAATTGCAGCTCCCATAATCCCATGTGTCATGAGAGGAACCCAGTGGGAGGTAATTGATTTATGAGGTGGGAGGGTTTCCTGTGTTGTTCTTATAATAGTGTATAAGTCTCATGAGATCTGATGGTTTTATAAAGGACAGTTCCCTTGCACACATTGTTTTGCCTGCCGCCATGTAAGATGTACTTTTGCTATCCCTTTGCCTTCTGCCATGATTGTGAGGCCTCCCCAAGCACGTGGAACTGTGAGTCCATTAAACCTCTTTTTCTTTATAGATTATCCAGTCTCAGGTATGCCTTTATTGGCGGTGGGAGAACAGACTAATACATCATGAATCTGTATTTGTAGGCATTTGAGTTTGCATCTTAAACCTAGGGAGAAGTCTAACCTGCCTTGTGACCTTGGGCATGATGCTTCCTATTTATAAGTCTTATTTAGCTTCTATTAAATAGGTCAAAGAATACCTGCCCTTCCTCTGTTCTGCACAGTACTGTTATAAATATTTAATAAAATGATGTATTGAATGTACTTTTATAACTAAGAAGTCCTTACTTTTGGTCTTCTCTATAAATCTATGATATCATTCTGACCATTGAACCAAGGAGATTTTTTTTCCCTCAGCTTTTTGGAAGTACAATTAAAAAAAATAAAAATTGTATTTATTTAAGATATGCAACTTGATGTTTTGATGTATGTATACAATTGTGAAATAATTGCCAAAATCAAACTACAGGCGTACCTCATTTTATTGAGCTTTGACTTACTGCACTAGATAGACATTATCTTTTTTTTTCTATTTTAACAAATGGAAGGTTTGTGGCAATTCTGTGTGGAGCAAAACTATCAGCACCATTTTGTTAACAGCATGTGCTTACTTTGTGCCTCTGTGTCACATTTTGGTAATTCTCACAATTTTTCAAACTTTTTCATTATTATTATATCTGTTATGGTGTTCTGTGATTGGTGATCTTTGATGTTCCTGTTTTAATTATTTTTGAGCCCCACATATAAGACCATAAACTTATTGATGTATGTTGTGTGTATTTTGACTGTTCCACTGACTGGCCATTCCTCTGTCTCTCTCCCTTTCCCCAGGCCTTTCTATTCCCAAAACACAACAATATGGAAAGTGGACCAACTAGTAAACCTACAATGGGCTCTAAGTGTTCAAGTGAAAGGAAAAGTCACATGTCTTTCACTTTAAATGAAAAACTAGAAATGATTAAACTTAGTGAGGAAGGCATGTTGATAATCAAGACAGGCTGAAAGCTAGGCCTCTTGTATGAAACAGCCAAGTTGTAAACACAAAGGAAAATTCTTAAAGAAAATTAAAAATGCTACTCCAGTGAACACACTAATAATAATAAAGCAAAACAGCCTTATTTTTGTATGGAGAATGTTTGAGTGGCCTGGATAGAAGATCCAACCAGCCATAAGATTTCCTTAAGCCAATGCCTAAGTCAGAGCAAGACCTTAACTCTGTTCAATACTATGAAAACTGAGCAGTGAGGAAGTTGCAGGACAAAAGTTAGAAACTAGGAGATGTTAACTCATGACATGTAAGGAAAGAAGTTGTCTCCATGACATAAAAGCACAAGTTGAAGCAGCAAATGCTGATGTAAAAGCTGCAGCAGGTTATCCAGAGATCTAGCTAAGTTAGTTGATGAAAGTGGCTACACTAAACAACAGATTTTCAACATATACAAAACAGTCCTCTATGGGAAGTAGATGCCATCTAGGATTTTCATAGCTAGAGAAGAGAAGTCAATGCCTAGCTTCAAAGGACAGGCTGACTCTCTTGTTAGGACCTAATACAGCTGGTGTCTAAGTGGAGCCAATGCTTGTTTACCATTCTGAAAATGCTAGGGTCCTTAAATCTACTCTGCTCTATCAATAAAACAACAAAGCTTGGATGATGGCACATCTTTTTATAGCATGGCTTACTGAATATGTTAAGCCCACTGTTGAGACCTACTACTCAGAAGAAAAGATTTCTTTCAAACTACTACTGCTCATTGACAGTGCATCTAATCATTCAAGAGCCCTGATGGAGCGATTAATGTTCTTTTTATGCCTACTAACACCTCTGTTCTGCAGCGTGGATCAAGGAGTAATTTCAACTTTCAGGTCTTACAATTTAAGAAATACATTTTGTAAAGCTATAGCTGCCATAGATAGTGATTCTTCCAATGGATCTTGGCAAACTAAATTAAAAACCTTCTGGAAAGGATTCACCATTTTAGATGTCATTAAAAACACTTTTATTCATAAGAGGAGGTCAAAATATCAACATTCCTAGGATTTTGGAATAAATTGGTTCCAACTTTTATGGATGACTTTGAGGGATTCAAGTCTACAATAGAGGAAGTAACTGCTTTCTCCACTGTAGTCTTGAATGGAGAGATGGGATAGAAGTAGCAAGAGAATGAGAATAAAAGTGGTGGGTGCCTGTAATTCCAGCTACTCGGGAACCTAAGGCAGGAGAATTGCTTGAACCTGGGAAGCAGAGGTTGCTGTAAGCTGAGATGGCACCACTGCACTCCAGTGTGGGTGATAGAGCCAGACTCCATCTCAAATAAATAAATAAAAATAAATAAATAAAAGTGGAGCCTGAAGTTGGGACTGAACTGTTGCAATCTCATGATTAAATTTGAATGGACAAGGAGTTACTTTCTATGGAGGAGCAAAGAAACTGCTTTCTTGAGATGGAATTTATTCTGGGTGAAGAAACAATGTAAACATGATTGTTATGACAACGTATTTAAAGTACTCAATAAACTTAGTTAATGAAACTGGGGTTTGAGGAAACTGACTCCAGTTTTGGAAGACATTCTACTGTGGATAAAACGCTATCAAACAGTATCACGTGCTACAGAGAAATCTTTCATGAAAGGAAGAATCAGTTGATACGGAAAACATCATTATTTTCTTATTTTAAGAAATTGCCACAGCCACACCAACTGTCAGTTGTTATAGTATAAACGTGACTTTTATGGACTAGAAACAAAAAAAATTCATGTGACTCACTTTATTGAGGTATTTGCTTTGTTGTGTTCATCTGGAGCCTAATCTTCAATATCTCTCTAATGAGCATATATGCCTATAATGAGCATATCCATTATCTCACGTAATTATGATTTTGTGTCTGTGTGTTGGTGGGGTGTTACAGTGAGAATATTTAACATCTACCCTCTTAGCAAATTTCAATTATAGAGTATTGTTAACTATAGTCATCATGCTCTACACTAGATCTCCATAACTTATATATCTTGCATAACTGAAACTTTATATCTTTTGTCCAACATCTCCCCATTTCCCCTTTTCCACAGTCCCTGGTAACCACCATTCTATATGATGCTTCTATGAGTTCAACTATATTAGATTCCATATTTAACTGAGATAATATAGTATTTGCATATCTGTGTCTGGCTAATTTCACTCAGTATAATGTCCTCCAGGTTCACACATGTTACAAATAGCAGGATTTTCTTCTTTTTAAAGGCTGAATAGTATTCCATTGTGTGTGTGTGTGTGTGTGTGTGTGTGTGTGTGTGTGTGTACATCAGTCAAATTGTCTAACCATTCATTGATGGAAATTTACCTTGGCTATTGTGAATAATTCTAAAATGAACATGAACTGCAGATATCTCTTTGAGATCTTGATTTCATTTCCTTTGGATTTATACCCAGAAGTAGGATTACTAGATCATATGGTAGTTCTAGTTTTAATTTTTTGAAAAAAATCCGTATGGTCTTCCAAAATGGCTGTACCAATTTACATTCCCACCAACTGTGTACAAAGGTTCTACTGTCTCCACAGCCTCCCCAAGGCTTGCTACTTTTTGTCATTTTGATAATGGCCATTCTAACAGGTGTGAGGTGATACTTCCTTGTGATTTTGATTTGTATTTCTCTGATAATTCGTGATGTTTAGCACCTTTTCATATATCTGTTGGCCATCTGTATGTCTTTGGAGAAATGTCTATTCCGGTACTTTGCCCATTTTTTTATTGGGTTGTTTTTTGCTATTGAGTTGTATGAGTTTCTTATAAGTTTTATTCCCCTCCTCCCACCGAGTTTCTTATAAGTTTAGAAATTTACTCCTTCTTGGATGTATGGTTTGCAAATATTTCTCCCATTCATGGGTTGTCTTTTCACTGTTAATTTTTTCCTTTGCTGTGCAGAAACCTTTTAGCTTGAGGAACACCACTTACTGATTTTTGCTTTTGTTGCCAATGATTTTGGTGTCATAGCCAAAAAATTATTACCAAGACAAGTTTCAAAAAGCTTTTTACCCTGTTTTTTTCTAGTAGCTTTACAGGTTCAGATCTTATATTTAAGTCTTTAATCCATTTTAAGTTTATTTTTATATATGGTGTCAGATAAAGGCCTAACTTCATTCTTCTGTGGGTGTACAGTTTTCTCAACACTATTTATTTACTTATTTATTTATAACTTCTATTTTAGGTTCAGGGGTACACGTGCAGGTTTGTTATATAGGTAAATTGCATGTCTTGGGAGTTTTGGGGTACAGATTACCACCCAGGTAATAAGCATAGAGCCTAATAGGTACTTCCTTCCTCCTTCTCTCCTTCCACCCACTACCCTGAAGTAGCCCCCAGTGTCTCTTGATCACTTGTGTCTCGGCATTCTCAATGTTTAGCTCCCACTTGTAAGTGAAAACATGTGGTATTTGGTTTTATGTTTCTGCATTAGTTCATTTAGGATAATGGTCTCCAGCTGTATCTGTGCTGCTGTAAAGAACATGATCTTAGTCTTTTTATGGCTGCATAGTATTTATTCCA